CCTTGGCATAACTCGCAGGGATGGAAACCGGTCGCCCTGGGTAAACATGGGGAGAGAGGGAGGGACTGGAGCTCCCCCCAAGCCCTGGGCACAGGCTCTGGCTCGGTGCCCACGTTTGGGAGTGGGGGTAACAGACTCGATGTCCCTTTTTGTCCCTTTGAAGCTGTTACCTCCAGCACCTGGATTTGCAGACCCTTGCTCCAAGGCACAGGATCAGTCACTGTCCCACGAAGGAGGAGAAATCCCCCAGCCCCACCGTGGGAGCACCCACTTAGCACCCAGTAAAAACTGCAGGCACTGCCCGGTATTTTTCCACCGGGACAGCTTGCTTGTTGTCCCATCTCCTGTTTAGTCCTCTGCACCTCCCAGCCCGGATCCAAGGGGCAGGAGAGCAATGCTAGCACAAGCAGACAGAGCTGCCACCCGTGTGCACATGCTGCATGCACGCGCAGGTCCCGGGCCGAGCACACGCCACCCACACGCCTGCCTCAGGGTGAGAGCATCCTGGGCTGCCCCACGCCAGCCTCGGGGTGGTGGCACCAAAATTACTATTCCTTGAGAAGCTGAAGCCTCCTGACCATCACAGCCACCCTACCACAGACACAGCCTCTGTACAGCCAGAATCCAGAGGGAAAATGGCCAGGGAAAGACGGATCCTCAGCCAGGAGGAGGTGGAAGTGCTGGCTAAAGCCAAGTCTTGATTTATTGCCCACCTCAACAGCCAGATCCCCACCCTCCCTCCGGGGACAACCCAGCTCATTCTTCACCACCACCTTGGAGCAGCCATCAGTGTGTGGTAATCCCCTGAGGCTGTCCAGAACAGAGGTGAAATTCAGGTGCTTTTCTCCTCCTGGAATTGCATGGACAAGGCAGAGCCACCAAGTATTGCAACAGCCACTGCTTTCCCTCAACACCCCAGAAATTGCCTCCTTCTAGCACCCAGTTCCTGCACCTTCAAACACAGCGAAATGGTTTCAACACGTAAACAAATGAGGTGTTTTACCCACAGAAATGAGCTCAAGATCTTACATTCAGCCCAAGTTCAACTTGTGGTCACCCAAATCTAACAGCTCAGCTGAAGCAAAAGGAAGTAGGAACTGGTGCCGAGGCCCAAAATAGCTCCCATAAAGGGGAGCTGTCAAGCCACAGGCAGCATAAAGCTGTGTCCAGCCCTCTTCCCTAAGTTTACAGAGAAGGTTTCTTTAATCGAGACTGATAACTCCAAATTCTAGGAAATGTGCTTGCTATCTTCTAATTTCCCAGGAACACTGGCCACCAGAGCTGGCTGCAAACAAGCCCAGGTGTTTAGAGGTGGAAGTCCCTGCGGAGTGAGGTGACCCCTGTGCTGTCCAAGCCTCAGGACTGAGCAGCTCCAAACAATCCTGAAGGGAAGCAGGCAGCAAAGGCAGCTCACAACATAAACACCTCCTCTCCATCCCATAAATCCATGCCAAGCAGCAAACCGCAGCCTGGGACAGACCTCCCGGGTGGGCAAGCGTGTGGATGGCTGGGGTGGGAGGATGTAGCTGCCAGCCCCGGGGGTGTTTGGCGGCTGGCTCATGCCGAAGCCCATGCCCTCGCCCTGCACAACATGTTTACGAGCCAGCGGAGAAGCGGCAGCCTCGCGGCCAGCGCCCTCTCCCGGGAAAGTCCGCGGTGGATGGGGAGAGCGTCCCGGGACGCCTCGCAAGGCTCACCCAACTTGTTTACTGCCTGCCTGCCTTCCCCTCCTCCCCTTCCAGCCTGGTTTCTTTTTTTTGGGAAAGCCGGCTCAGGCTGTGCCTTCGCCCAGCTGCGTGCTCCAGTGACCCTCATTGTCGCCGACAAAAACCTCCTCGGGGAGCTGGCGAGGGCACGATGCCAACAGGTAGCACATCCCACGAGTGGATTTAAATCCACCTTCAAAGGGTCCTGCTCAGAGACAATGTCCTGCTCCAAGGGCGAGTCCCAACTGGCACATGTTTTCCTTTCTTCCTCCTATTAATTCATGGGAACACCTTTATTCTCCTGCCCCAGCGCTTCCTGCCAGCACAGTTTATATCCTGAGAGAAGTGCCAAGGTGGAAAGCGGCTGGTGAGCTGGAAGGGTTGGGCAGGTTGGACTTTGAAGCCTCCTGCCTCCAAGCCAGGAGTGGAAACCCTCGGGGACAGGACACAGACAGGTCCCTGTGCTCTCCAGGAGAGGTCTGGGCACCAGAGCAAGCTTGTCACAGGTAGCATGAGACATGCCAGCTCTTTTTCAACCCCAGCCAGCAGCCAAGCAGTAAAAGATCACAGCTTCCCTCTCCACCATGCCTTGCTGGGGCTGGTGTGACCCATCCCTGCCCACATGTCCCCCCATCTCTGTCCTCTCCCCCTGCCTCAGCTGCCCTGGGCGGTTGCTCTCAGCAAAGGGGCCTGGCTGCAGGCTCCCCCTGTGAAAGTGCAGGCTCATAAATTTGGGAATGCCTTAAAATGCAGAAATGTCACACCACAGAGGGCGGGGGGAAGCGTGGAGAGGCAATTCAAAGGTTAGAAAAAGCAGGATATAAAACTTCCCTGTGGCTCAGGCCCTAAGGCAGGTGGCTGATGGCTTTGCTCCTGCAGTGCTGGTACTTTTTCCCAGCACCGTGGGGCTACCTCCAAGGCTGGCCCCTCACCACAGATCCTGAGATCTCAGCCCCAATAGATTGCAGACCCAGACTGCTAAGCCCAGGTACACATTCACCTTTCACCAGCACAAAAAAAAATTTCTTAAATAGAAAGGAATGCTTTCAGGTATTTTAAACAGAGATGTCACACTGGGAGGAGGAATTGCCCATTTTGTTGTGATGGTTAGATCCCAGGAGGAGGCCTGACTCACCCAAAATGCCCCAGCACAGCTGGGAGGGAGGAGGGACAAGCACAGCATCATGGAATCACAGAATGGTTTGGGCTGGATGGGGCCTAAAGGTCATCTAGTCCAACTCCCTTGCAATGAGGAGGGACACCTGCAGCATCTCTCCTCTCCCCGTGCCCAACAGCTAAGACATTCCCAAATTCAGCTATACCACTTTCAGACCCATCCAGGGAAACACTGTGGGCTGTGAGGTCCCATGTAAGGAATTGAAATACATCCAAGTGAGACCAGATATAGGCTGGATGTCATGATGCTGCATCACCTCCATCTGAGCCCATCACTGGGCACAGCTGCCTCTGCATGGACCCACCACCACCACTGCGCCCTGGGCTCCAGAGGGGCTCACAGGCTGGAAGAACTGAGGATGCAGCCCTTTTTACCCATAACTAGTAAGACAAAGGCTGGAAAACCATACTTAACACCTTAGCTAGTGTTTGATCAAGAAGTTGCCCAGCTCAGAGTGGCACAGCAGCCACTGACTGAGTACAGGGAGCTAAAGGCAGGGCAGGGGGAATGACTGCACTGGGGGGGACTGACCTTGTGCAAGCAGCAGTGGCCGACTGGTCTCCCCTGGAGGGCTGCGGGAGGCTGACGAAACCCCCCAAGGCAGGGAGGCGGTAGCTGCTGGCCCGGTATGTGAGCAAACATTGCACGCTCCGCAGCAGGCCCATGCTCCCTTTGAAGATGCTGCCAGGGTCAAGGGTAGCTGTGGGCTAGTGGCCAGAGGGCTTTCAGTGGCAGAGCAGATCACCTGGGCTACACAGAAAAGCAATTTAGGAAAAGCAAATTAATAAATGAAAACGTGCAGAGGCACATGCAAAGGGACAAA